AAAAAAAAATTCCCGTCTGTTATAGAAAATATTGATTAATAGCTCTAATGATAGATAGTTTTAGCATCTTATTAGTCTCTTTTACTAGAAGTCGACAGTATGTAAGAGCTTGGAAGCATTCTCATGTGTGCTAATAATCACCACTCACCAGCTACAACTAACCCATATCAATAAAAACAATAGTTCAGCATACCTGTTGATTAAGTCCTGCAGTGCCCCAAGTACTTGCATCTGAATGGAAATTGTCCAAAACCTTATTTTTGTTCTCAAACATTTTCGCAGTCTCAAGGTCTTTTCCACTTTTATTAGAAACAACAGAAACCGATTCTTTTTGGACGGACCTGCAGAAAAATACAAGCATACACTTAAGAATACTTTTAAATAAGTGTCACAAGCAAAACTTCATATTTAGGGATATGTACATGATAGCATGAGATGGTGTCATAGCCGGAGTTTCAATACTCAGAGCAGGAGTGCCAATTGGAGCCAGTGATGGGGAAACTTCAGTGGTTACTGCGGATGCTTCTTTATCTTCCAAGCTTTTTCCCTCCAAGGCAACAAAATCCAAGTGAGAGTTTGTTGATGATTGTCTAGCCAGTGGGGCAGAAAGCTTAATTGGACTTGTTGAGTCCACAACACTTAGTATACGTGCACGAGATTTCGGCAGTAGCTGAGATGAGAGAGAAAATGTAATTGAGTAATTGCACATCAGAAAACTCCCAAATGAGAAAATATGATAGAGAATAATAACCTTCTAGAGCATCAATACCTTTGTGGCACGTGATTTTGCTTTGATTTCTTTTTCCCTCTGCTCACGTCGATCATTCAGCATTTGCCTTTTGGATCTCACTTCAATGAAGTCATCTTCATCGCTGGGAGCTTCTATGCCAGGTTGTTTATAAACACGAACAACACCACTTTGCAAGGGAGCATCGACATCCTCCTCAGAAGCATTTCTCTTGAAATGTGACTCTCCAGAGGAAGAAATATTCTGCTTCTTCATTGACGCGTCATTTACACTTTTCTTTCCTAGTCTGTCGCTAGAATTCAACTCCTGAAAACTAGTATTTCCAGACAATGAGCTCTCTGGTTCAACTCTCTGTTTCAATGGTCTATTAGAGATTGTACGTCTCTGAGAACCACCTCTTGCAATAACTCCCACAGTTCTTCTTTTGTAATTTGACTTATCAACTGAGCCTCCGTTATTAACAGTAGTATGCTCTTGTTTCTTTTCATTCTGCCGAACTCGAAATTCAGTTTGCTGAACAGTTAGTCGAGGTTGCCTCTGAAACCCACTTGAATCTGTAGAAGTATCAGGAGCCAGAAAAGAAGATCTTGTGTTGGAATTTTTCACTGCATAGGCATATCTTTTTCCTCTGCTACCACCTTTGCCTTGGAGTCTTGGTCTACTGAAATTTTTCTCACCAGAAACATGCTTTGATGATGGCTGTAAACGCTGCAACTGACTTACACTTCCATTCTCCTTTGATGATGACACGTAAGTGTTTGTAACAGAATCAAGTTGCCCTTTCTCTTCTGATCGAGAACTAGATTCTAGCTTCATCTTGTTATTAAAGGCACAAGAACTAATCGAATGTGAAAGAAAATCGCCTTCTGAACTATCTTCAGCCAAAACTGAATCTAATTCCCTGGGAATGTTCTCATGAGATTGCTCTGGCTGTCCTGACACACAACTGGACTGCTTATTTAACAATAGAGAAGTCACCTCATCTTTTACTGCATGTGGTGGGGCATCTTGAGCTGGTTGATTAGGTACAGAGCCTCCAACATTCTGATTCAGATTATAATGGAACTGCATGTTGGGCTGGACAAATGACATTGATTGGTGGGGTATGGGCAAAATTCCCTGCGATATAGGAGATGTATAACACAGCTGACCAAATTGGAAGATAGGAGGTTGTGAAGGATGCACATGAGTAAGAGATGGACCAACAGGAGGATGAATGTGGAGAGGCATTTGTATTGAACCAATCTGGATAGCAGGAACTGGAGATGGTATCAGAGATGGACCAGAGAACAGCCCAAATTGAAGCTTAACAGGTACGTCAGCATGAGTCCCAGCAGAAGCCATAGATGACATATTGATCTCACCAGCAGCAGATGTAACATCACCTGAAGCTGAGATGAGTTGCTGAGCAAGTAAAACAGAGCTACCGGAGACATCGACATATAAAAGATCTGATGTGGCCGAGGAATAAGGAGCACTGATAGGTTGAATAGTAGCGGCTGTCAACAACTTATCAGATTCCCGAATCTTCCCAGAGGAGCTATCTTTGCTTGTCTCAAAGGAATCATCAGCAGGCAGAAGGCTTTTTTCATCATCTGGAACCCTATTGATAGCTCCTTGTTCTTCCATAATATGAACATGACTGCCAGAAATTCCAAATGTGCTTTCTTCAGTCCCTGAATTTCGTGCAAAATCATCACTTGGAATTACAACTTCAACGCCATCATCAAAGCCTAAGACCACATTGTCCAAAATATGAGAAGAATCTCTGTCCTCGAGTTGCACATCTTCGAATTTTGGGTCCAGATCAAGATTCCCGTCATCTCCTTCACGCACTTCATCCTCTTCTTGATAACCATCTTCATCCTCATCATATTCCTCTTGCTGCTGCAACTCATCATTTTCAGGAGTCCACTCCTCATCCTCAACAGCAGAAGTAGGATTTGGCGCTTTTATCACGGTATCATTTCCAGAATTATCATTCAAGATAACAGAATCAATTGCAGATAGCTGATTCTTTTTTCCTTCTGCTACCACGGATATCAAAGGCGAATCTCCAGATTCATCCAATTCATCATTGGAGAGATGAGGCGGTGAGTTGGGGGGACTTGAAACAGATAGTGAAGATTGTGAGTCACATCTTGATGAAATGTCCTTCAATTTCTGGTCTTCATTAGGAGTGTTTTCTTGCCGCAGTTCAACAAGGTTGGGTGCTTCAAGGGCTTCCTGGTTACCACCATAATAACCTGTCTGCCTATTGGATTCATTTCTTGCACTGTAAGCATAATGGACGATATTATCTAGGACAGTTGATGGACCAGGATGCTCATTTACCCCCCTGAAAGATGTTCTTTGAGAGGAAGCAAGTGGAGGGGGGAGGACGCGAGGCTGCTTCATGGAATGCCGTGAACTTCCATACGGATAAAGCTCATCTGCCTCAGAATTCAGATACAGTCGCTCTGGGTAAGGTGGGCGAGTACTAATACGAGAACGGCCTTGCCCCAGTCCATTATCACCATACTTATCAGCAAAATTATCATGAAATCCGGAATTGATTTCCCTATCTTTGCTGTACAAGTCAACATCCCCTGGCACATTCCACCTATGGTCTTTCTGTCGTCCAAAGTCATCCAAGAAAGGCTCTTGCATGCCTGCTTTCGAATAAGCCCTAGAATTTACGTATCCAGATCCTTCATAGAACTCTCTTCTAGGACCTGTCGTGCCACTACCAAATGTATCTCTTCTCGGACTGTTATGACCAATCTCTTGGTCCTGTGCTGCTAAGGGCAAGGTACTCACATCTTCAAACATATCCCTTTTCCATGAATTAACACTTTTTCCTCTGTCAAAAAAGCTTGAAGAAACTTCTTTAGGAGGGTAAGGCCCAGAACTGATATCAAAAGATCTGTCATAAGCAGATGAATCAAACGATGCTGATGTCATCATCTTATCCACCATTCTTTCACCATCTTCCCAGTTGTCCAGATCAACAGTCCTGGAGCTATCATTTTCCTTCACACCAGCATCTACTTTGTCATCCACAATCGCATTAGACATGGAAGCATCAATCTTCAAAGTTTCAATCTGCCTCTTGGCCATCCTAGCCTCCAATTCCAAAAGCTTTTGAGTGGCAGCTTGTTTCCTCCTCTCTTCCTCCATAAGATTTCTCTTCTTCTCTTCTTCCCTGGCAATTCTGAGCTCTTCAGCTATCCGAATAGCCTCCAGTCTATCCTGTTCTGCTCTCCAAGCAGCTTCACGAGCTTCCTCCTCTAACCTCCGCTGTCTTTCTTCCTCTTCCCTGATTCTTCTCTGTCTCTCCTCTTCTTCTCTTCGAGCTTGCTCCAAAGCTCTTTCTTGTTCTTCAATGATCCTCTGCCTCTCAAGCTCTTGCATCTTCTGAACTCTTTCAAGTTCTGCCTCAAAAGATTCCCTAACAGGATCGTGAAAATCAGCCGGCTTAGCAATCTCCTTCTTCCTCTTAATTACACCACCAAGACCCCCGGAAAAGAGCTCCCTTTCATCGAAACCTGCAGAACCGAAGTCTTTGGAGAAGGGATCCTCCGAAAACAGTCTATCTCCTTTTGAAAAAGCATGTTTCTCCCTGCCTAAAGTCAGTTTGACACCAGTCATAGAAGGAACTTTCCCACTAGACGAAAACGGAGATTTAGATAATGCATTATTCTGAAAATTATCACTTCTGTATCTGTTGGGTTGCTCAGCACCATAACGATCTCGATTATAACGCTCAGCCCCTCGATTGTTATGTACATCCATTGAGTTGTTCCATTGCTGCCGCACTTCTGGAACATGTACCACATCCTTCCTTCCAAATGAAGAATCCCGATTAACCATCACACTGCCATCTCTACCAGTGTCGCCAGAATGTGGTGGAATGTACTTATTGTCCTTCGCAGCATTGTTAGGTCCATCTGTCCTTGCACCAACACCACTTCGGTCGTTTCCAACCTCTTGAGAATTTACTCCATTTTTAGGAAATGGTGAGATTCTCCAGTTGTTGACTTCCCTGCCTTCCCTACTAGTTCCCAGATCTCTGTTGAAAGGGTCCAGACTAAGGACTTCACTGGAAAATACCTTTCCAGTTTCATTGTCTCGTTGACTCCAATTACGATTATGAACTGGTTTGTGCAGTAAAACATTGGGCCTGGGTAAGTCAAAATTCCTATCCCAATAATTTTCATTTTTAGAACCCCCAACTTCTCTTCCCCATTCTGCAAACTCACGGCCAGTGTCACGCTCGTCATCAGCCCAATCAGATCTCGGATTGAACTGAACCAGTGGCAGTGGACCAGGAAAGTAATCTTCCTGCTTCCCAGCAGGATCTGCCATTCGCAAACTGCCCATCCTATGAACTTCTCCAGCATTGTGCAGCGACCCATTTCCAACAGTACTCCTTGAAGACTGTCCCTGTTGCCTTATATCAGCTAGCAGACTTGAATGGTAAGTGTCCCTCTTGTCATCAGATGTTTCCTCATTCACAATCTGCTTCTGTTTTTGGTTCGAAGCCTCCTTCTGTTTCTGTGATGTGCCTGATGAAACAGGCCTTGCAGCCTGCAAAGAGGGGAAATCCTCACCTCTCAAAAATGTGACTTTCTCCGCTGATTGTGGAAATGCCCGAGCAGGATAACCAGAACGTGCAACTCCAAGCTCATCAGATTGAACTGATCGTGGCAAATAAGAACCACCACCCCGACTTAATCCATCAGTAGCATTCATTCCATCAGCCACAGGAACATCAACACTACTCTCATTCTTCTCCGATGAAACAGTAGCTGCCACAGGTTTGGTCCAGCCCAAACCTGACGAAGTGGGCCTTGGTCCACTTCCAGGACCGACACCACCACCTGGCCCTCCACCTGGCCCTGACAAATCAAACCTTTCGTGTTCTTTCCTCAAGGAGGGCAAATTCAAGGGGGGTGGAACAGCGAGTTTTGGACCAGCCTTCTGTGTAACCCGGTTCCTTGATAAGGCCACCATTCCCGCACCAACACTCCCAGGGCGCCCCCTTGCTCCAGTGCCACCCTGATCATAAGAACTACTGCTGCCACTGCCACTAAAAGCTGAATGATGAGCATGATGAGAAGGCTGATGCTGCTGTCCATAAGACTTGTTCAGATTCACCGACACAAACTTTGCACCAGAATTGGCCATCCCCAAACCAGACCTGTAATCTGAACCGACCTTACGGATCTCAACCCGCACCAGCGCATCAAAACCCTAAACCAAACTTTTTTCCTCTCTCTTCTTCAATAATAAATCAATCAAGACTCACCCCAGGAGATCTCACTGTAAATATATTTTGCCAAAAAAAAAAAATAATAATAGTAATAAATAAATAAAAATAATCAAATCCGAGACTCTCACAGGGGCACTTCAAAAAATATTATTAGAATTAATGATCAATTAATAAGGAGAAAAAAACAGTGTTATCAATCTAATTAGGGTTTATTGTAGGATAAATGGAGAAAATAGGGGATCAAGTAAGAAACAAAGATGCATGGATGGGGAAGAATCAGAAGCGTACCTTTAATGGCGTAGATAGAGGACGGCTGTGCACTCTTCGGGAGCCGCGTAGAGAGAGAAAGTACTACGGTGTGAGATTTTGAGAGACGGAGATACGTAGAGAGAAAGAAAGAGTCAGGTTTTCTGTTATATAGAGAGAGTGATGCAAGTGGAAGAGGAAAAGTAGGAGTTGATTTCGTTGCGACCTTAAAATTACGTGGATTCTGAAGATATAAACCTCAAAATATATTTGCTTGTACGTGTGTCCCCTGTTTTTGTTCATTTCATTNCTTAAAATTACGTGGATTCTGAAGATATAAACCTCAAAATATATTTGCTTGTACGTGTGTCCCCTGTTTTTGTTCATTTCATTTAGCCCCCTTTTTTTGTCAAATCCATTTCATTTTTTTCTTCCCTATTTTTAATCACATAATTTTTTATAAAATAATATTACTCATAAATTAAAAACTTTTTAATCTTCTTTATCCACTCATTTTTCAAAAAACATTATTCTATTCATTTTCATTTTTACAAAATAGGGACCAAACAGGGGCTTAGCCCCGTTTGCCACACATTATTTGATCAACTGAGTTGGGGGTACAATCCCCCCCAGTTCACAGACCTCTTACAGAAGTCTCATACATTGTGGGGTTGGAATTTTTTTATAATTTTTTATTACATTAGGCCCCCAGTCAACCTTTTGTGAAAGTTCTGATTTTTTTCTGTAAAAATAATTCTGTATAATCAGAATTGTTTTTATTTGATAAATTAAAGAGTTTTGAATAGCATATGTTGGAGAATATGTGGTTAAAAAGTAAAGAAATTTTATTAATTTGTGTGTAGAATATTCTTTTGTGTGAATATGTAGTAGAGAATGATATTGTAGCAAACGATGTAAAATTTTAAAGACCGTCAAACAAACCCTTATTTAGCCCCCATTTGCTTTCCATTTTTCTAAGGATGAGAATGAAAAATATAGTCGTTACAGGAGCCACACAAGAGATAGAAAGTCAAATATGGTGAATTGATGTAATGAATAACGGTTTTATTTTTAATTTTTGTAACCAAAAAATGGGAATCAAACCGAGGCTAATTAAAGGATTTCGAAAATTTCGTTTTATTTTTGGCCCGACCATTATGTTAATTATTCAATAGCTAATATTATAATTAATTGTTCTTAAAATTTTATTCACAAAAAATCATTTTCTCTTTTCATAAGTAATCGAGAGGATTTTTCAATAACGTTATCTTATATATATTTTTTTTCTTTTGAAACAATAACGTCATCTAACTAAAGAATTGGTAATTTTCTGACAAAGATCATATCATTTATGGAAACTTTTGTGCTTGAACATCAAGTTGTTTCAAAATGATTTAGGACGAAAATTATGAAAAATAAAATAATAGCAAAGTCTCTTTCTCTTAAAAAGTAAATTGCAATACAGTCCTCAGTTTTTTAACTTCATGTAATCTCAACTTTTTTTTATTACAAATAGATTATCAACATTTAGTTAATTAGTAGCATGAGTCCTCATGGAACAAGTTACTTGTGAACTTTTATTATATTTATATCTATAAGATTTTTTATTGTTAAACAATATAATGTTTTAATCTTGTAAATAGTTTTTATATTATGGGTACATTAGCAATAGAGTTCGAATAGTTAATGTTATCAAACATAAAATTTGAATAAAACTATCACTTGGAACTTTTTACCAACGATTTAAATTATAAGTAAATAAAAATGAAACCGATTATTACTCCATCAAATAAGTCCCAATTTTATTTTATCGAAATCCCAAAATTGTAATCTTTATGAAAGGAAACCCAAAATTTCAAAAAACCGTATTCAAATAAAATCAAAATCTCGAATCCCCTATTCCAGAAAATCACAAACCATCCCACAAATAAATCATCTTCATATCTCATTCTGCGATACATAATAACACCTAAAAACGTTTACAGCATCCATATATATTCAATGATTCGCCATTTTTCAACAATACATAAAAATAAATTATTATAACATTACAAAATCAACGTTGCAGTAATTTTGAATTGGTGCAATGCAACTCAAAACCAAAGTCAGAAACTAGTAAGATGTAAGTCCTAATTTTTTTTACTATATTTTACATTACACAGTCATACCCATACAGAGGGACTACGTAATTGAATTGGGTACGTTTGCCTATTTTGCTTTTTTAATTTTTTATTTAGTTTGGAGAGAGATTAAATGATGGCTTGTGTACATTTTTCCGGGTCTCAAAGAGCGTGAAAACACATAAAACTCTTGATGGAAATGGAAAAGAGATCTTAGGGAAAAAAAAAAAGTAAGTTACATGAGAGTGTTTAGGTTCTAAATTTGGATCGAAAAAGGAAATACTTGGGTTGTAACTAGAAGTTGAATATGGAAGAAAAGTTGAAATGGGCTTCGTTGATGTCAAAGCAAATGGATTGGTTAGAGGAAATTTAGCCCATGTTTGGTCGTTATTATTTATTTATTTATTATTTTCTCACATTGATTTTTAATCGCACATTTCAATAACTTCTTATTAAAATCTATTGAAAATTTTTTTTTTGATTTTTACCTAAATCAATCAATGGCTTACTATTCATTTTATTTTATTCAATAATTACTAGAGGTTGAATGCGATAGCAAAATGTTGACTTCATGGTTTTGGATCTGATGGTTAGTCAATGGAGGTGATGATAGCGGCTGAAATTTTGGTGTTGATCATGGTACGAGTAGTGCAAGTTGGAAAGGGGTGGTGTTGGTAGTAGCGGCGTAACCTGAAACGTTACAAGCATTGATGTGAAGACATAGTGTAACAATTTTGTTATAGTAGTTGTGGTGGTGTAACAATGAATGTTATAAGTGAGGGTGGTGACAACGACAACGACATCAACAAAAATGGGTGAGGAAGTGTTTTTAACATAATGTAAGAAAATGAATTACAAAATGTATTTTTCTTAAATAAAAAATGAAAACAGTAATATAAGTGTGGAATTAGTTAACTTTTAAGATTATTTTGTGAATTGTATCTATCATTTAGATTAAAAATTTTAGATATTAATACCCTTAAAACTAATTAGAACTAAAATTCTCGTATTAATCATGCTCAACCCCCCTCCCCCGGGGATTTTGTTACTTTTTGGAATTTTTGTCACTTTTTTTTTATAAATATTTGTTACTCTTTTGAATTTTTTACACTTTTCATTTAATAGTTTTTCTGTTCTCTTTTTACAGGATTGAAAGTTAATTATACCATATAAATATTGGTTTAAAGGGACATGATATACCACCTTCTATGAAAAATTTTGACTCCTTCAAAAATATCATGTCAATTGACATAATTTTGAATTTAATAAAATTGTTGCCTAATTTAGCTTATGTATAAATCTAAGGATACACTGGTTATTTTATTGATAAAATTGCATATAAATGACAATTTAAAACATAATTTTTTACAAAAATGACACGATATGTCACTGTTTTAACAAAAAAATGACGTGTTTTAACAAATGTGGTTGCATGGGTATTATATTTGGACTATAATTTCAATTATTTTTGTCACTTTTATATTCATTATTTTGTTCTCATTTGCTTCCATAACAAATGAAGATGTTAATTGTATACACATCTGCAAAAAAGAATATAAATGAAATAGTGTATAACTTTTTTCATGTCACTTGTTGATGTAAAGCAAAGTTTAAATTTATATTCATATTTTAAATTTACACAAAAACCATATGTATGCATTTATTAAATTGATCCAAAAGAATTCAAATGAAATAAACTATGACCTTTTTGAAAAAAAAGTAATGGATAATGTCACTTTCAAGTTTAAGCAACTTAATTATATGCAAAATACAAATAAAGTGTTATATCGTGTTACTTTTTAACGTAAAGCAAAGTTCGAACACATATATAAATTTTCACAATAGGCAGGTATCTATTTAATTGTTCCAAAAAAAATTCAAATATTATATTCGATGACTTTCTTTTTAAAAATAGTTACAAAGCATGTCACTTTCACCTTCTCATATTCGTATTTACATTTTCACAAATACCTTAGCATGCATTTATTGGCGAGATGTGTAGGGAATGGTTGTTTGTCAATAAATAAAGTAATGGTTAAGTTCAATTAGCAAGAGCATAATTAAATTATATGTAAATTTGTAACGAATGGAAAGAAAGAGAATGAAAAGAAATTCAAGGCAAGTGATTAACATAGAATGCTAAATAGATTGGTAATTCAAACTTGCCATTGCTTATGTTTCCTAAAGAATGTCACCATCACGCCCCATTTATTGTATACTATTGATTGTTTTTTCATTTTGTATGTGCAACTTCATCAATATGGATTAAACAAGATATAGTCACGCAACTCCACATTTTTTAATTTATATTATTTTTGTTCAATTTCAATATTAACACCATGTAACAAGACATACCAAGTGGTTGTGTCCATTCTATTTGTGAAAAATGTAAGTTGTATGTAATCATGCAATGTCAATTATGTGTGCTATACCTTCAAAAAGCTCAAATTGTTATACTTGGTGAATCGCAAAGAATGATAAAGAGATAGATAAATCGAACCTGTAATACCTTGTTTTCCTTCATACATTCATCATATTTGTGTACTTTCCATATGCACACGATGTAACAATTATTGTAACATGTCAAAATTCCGTGCCTATTCCTTTTACGCAAAAAAGTAAATTGTATCTAACAATGCCATGTCATTTAGGTGCGTTACATTTCACAGGCACTTGATTCGGTGTCACACTTTTTTATGGCCTTATAAATATCACAAAACTGTGAGTTATATTACATATTGTTTGGCTACTAAGTCTTTAAATTTTCATATCCTTTAGAAATTGCATATGTGAACAAAAATCGTTTAGCAGATTGGCAACTCAATTTTACATGTTTGGAAGGAAATGCCTTCTTACTTGACATACAATGTAAGAAGGTAAAAGGTCTGTAACTATTGGAAAGGAATCAACCTTACATAGCACCTGTGTATCGAGGAGTTGTAGGAACCAACTTCACATAATTGAGAAATCGCATTTGGTGTTAGTTCCTCGCAATGACTCGTATAATTTAAAATTACTGAGCTTACGGTAACTTTGAAAATGGTTTAAGCATTGAAATGGTTTTACATTTGTCATATAGCATACCATGTGGTTTTTGAAG